CATGCTGGGTAGAGTAGAGGGACAGCGCAGGAGGGGAAGACCCTCTATGAGGTGGATTGATTCAGTGACTGGGATAATTGGGATGGGTGTGTCAGAGGCAATGAGATTGGCACAGGATAGAGCACGGTTTAGGGCTGTTGTACATAAGGTCGCTATGAGTCTCAAGCGACTCGATGGCATATAACAACAACACCAGTCTTCAGCCTAATAGCTCCATCTTGGAATCTCCTTAGGGAATGTGAAGCCATAGACTCAATGAAGACCTTGCTAATCTGTTCCTTGCTCCTGAATTGCATTTTGGCTAGACAAGTTTTTGAAATTTTAAGTTTGTAGCAGATGTTAGGGATGGGAAGAATGATCTTTGATCGTTACCTTAGACATCCTCTTATAACCAGGGTCCTAGTTTTGCTTGGAATATCGTCTGTGTGTGTGTGTGTGTGTGTGTGTGGTTAATGCACTCAGCTGCTAATCAAATAATTGTGAGTTTATATCAACCCAGAGGTGCTTTGGAAAAATGGCCTAGAGGTCTACTTCTAAAAAATCAACCTCTGATGACACTATATAGAACTCTGGTGCCAAAGTATATTACACTTTGTGCTGTTGAATGAAAGGCTGACAGTTCAAATTTGCCAGCTGTTCCATGAGAGAAAGATGAAGCCATCTCCTCCCATAAAGAATTGGAGCCTCAGAAAACCAGTTCAATGACTGGATGTCAGTGGGTTTGGTTTGATTTGATAACCCTATGGAGCACAATTTTACTTTGACACATATTGGTTACCACATGCTAAATCGACTCTGTGGCAACTATCTGGCTACTTTTTGCTTGCACAAATTTTAGCTTGTTGAGGCAGAAAATATGATTTTTTCCCCCAATTCTGTGTGATTTGAAGTTTACTCACAGTTGTCTTGAACTGTTTGTCAAAAAAGAGAACTTCTCACTTCTTGCATTTCAATCTAAGCAACTGTCAGGGATATACTCTGCTAATAACACTTTCCAGAAACAGAGAAAAGATATCAGTATATATTATAGCCCACATATTTTTAACTGGAAGCTTCAATCTGGGCAATTGGCTTGAGTCTGGAAAACTTAAGGTAAATGCTTTCCTGTAGAATGTCAATTGTTCAGTGGTGGGGGCACAAATGGAATTCTGCAGCAGGGGGAGCTCTTGGTTAACTCTGGTTCTGCCATGAAGGAGAGCCGCAGTCAGCCCAATATTCCCCCAAACCCTATCAGACAGGGCCATCAGGGAACAGTACATAGATAAGGAAATTCCAGAAGTTAAAGCAAGATTTAGAAGAGGCTCTAGCACCAAGAATATAATTGCAGATGTCAGATGGATCCTGGCTGAAAGTAAGAAATATCAGAAGAATGTCTATTTGTGCTTTATTGACTATGCAAAGGCATTTGACTGTGTGGATAATGACAAGTTGTGGCTAACATTGAGAAGAATGGAAATCCCAGAACATTTTATTGTACTCATGTGGAACCTATACCTGGACCAGGAGTCTGTTGTGCGAGCAGAGCAGGGGGAGCACTGCATGGTTTGGATTTGAGAGGGGAGTATGTCAGGATAAAGGGAATGCATCAGGGATGTATTCTATCTCCATACCTATTCAATCTGTATACTTAACAACTCATTTGAGAAGATGGACTATATGAGGAGGGGTGTGGCATCAGGATTGGAGAGAGATTCATCAATAATCTGTGTTATGCAGATGGCACAACCTTGCTTGCTGAAAGTGAGGACTTGAAGCACTTGTAGAAGATCAAGGAATGCAGGCTTTGGTATAGATTGCATCTCAATGTCAGGAAAACAAAGATTCTTACCACTGGACCAATAGGCAGCAGCATGATGGATAGAGAGAAGATTGAAACTGTCAACAGCTTTATCTTGCTTGGATCCATGATTAACAACCTTGGTACAAGGAGTCAGGAAATAAAGGGACACATTGCACTGGGAAAATCTGCAGTTAGAAACCTTTCCAAATTACTGAGTAGTGATGTAAGTTTGAAGACTATGGTGTGTCTGATTCAGACCATAGTCTTTCTGATTACTAGTTATGCATCTGAGAGCTTGCCAATGAATAAGGATGACAGAAGAAGAATTGACACCTTTGAGCTGTGGTGTTGAAGAGCACTGAACCTCCCATGGATGGGCAAGATAACAGATAGGTCTTGGAGAGGGTGCAGCTGGAGTGCTCTTTGGAGGCAAGAATGATTGGGACATATTGCGAGGAGGTGCTATACCTTGGAGAAGGACTTGAAGTTGGGAAGAGTGGAGAGTCAGTGAAAGAAAGAAAGACCCTCAACTCGGTGGATTGACATGGTGACTGTTGCAATGGGCTCTTGTGTGTCAGGGAGTGTGAGAATGGCACAGGACAGAACAGTGTTCAGATCTTTGTTCATAAGGTTGCTATGAGTTGTGCTTAACTCGACAGTACCTAACAACAAGATACATCTTTCTCTCAGGGAGTGGCTGATGAGTTAAAATTGCTAATAAATAATTTCAGTTAGTAGCAGAGTGCTCAACCCCTGTGCCACCAGAGCACCCCATTGTTGATGTTGAGTACTAGAGTTGGAAACAACCCATAACTGACCCTCCTCCAGCAGGTTTTTAGAGGTAGTTAATAGCACGGGAGGAGATTGCCCATCCTTCTTTCATGGAGCAGTTGGTGGATTTGAACCACATGCCTTTGGGTTGTCAGCACAATTCTTTACCACAAGGTCTCTTCTACAGCACCCCATTGTGAGCCTAGATTCTAACTTCACCACCAACATCTAGAACTCCTTTCCAGTTTGTTTTCTCCTTTCCAGTTTGAGTGCATTAATTACTCTCACCTGATAGTACCAAATCTGCATGTTGAGTCCTTTAAAAGTCTTTGTTATTTTAACTTACTAGAAGCATGAAGATCACAGGTGTGTGGACAAGTGCAAAGGGATGTTCCCATCACACACTATGTGACTCCCACAGAGCCCTCCAAACCCAAGAACACAAAAAGAACGAGGTAAACAAAACACACAAAAATGGAAAAAACCACCAAAAAATGGAAGTGTCTTTATTGTCTTTAAATTGCATAGTACTCTGATTGTGCACGCTTTTAGACAGAAAGCAAGATAGATCACTCTCTTGTGCTGTATATTTCACACTATTTTAATATTGGCAGGAGTCAAGACCAAAATGCTGCTTTGGCTTAAAAAAAATCATGATCAGAAGTTGGAGAGTTGGAGGGACTTGGAGAGTTGGAAAGTGACAAGAAGATGCTGAAAGAAGTTGAAATTAACAGGACTTCAAGAGTCACAGATAGTTGGAGAGGAGGCTTCAGTGATGTCAAGGTATGAGATTCAGGAGCAGCCAGGCTAGAGAGGAAGGGAAAGGAATGGAGTCCAGAAGGTCAATGCCTTGTGCTCAAGTCTGAGAGGAATGCCACCTCCTGGGGGGAGCCCTGAAAGAGTGCACTGAGGGGCCAATATGCACAGTCTGGGCATTTAGATGGCTACAGACAGCCACAAACTAAAAAAATAACTTAAAAGCTATACAATTGTCTTTATAAATATTTTGTCTTTTAAAACTAACTAGTGTTGGTTAAAAAACAGTTCACAGTTACTCTGAAGAGAGTTGAATCTCTATTGCACAGTAGTGGAAAAATCCGCGGTGATCCCCATGTGTAAACAATGGTTCCCTTCTCCTCTGGCAACTTCAGGACACAGAGAAACAGTTATTTGCTGTAGCAAAAGCACTTGGGTACAAGGCACGTCGAAGCTGTCAAGCTCTACTGGGATATCATACTTGGAACACGCAGAATGCCCATTTTCTTCCCACTGGCGCCCTTGCCGTTAGTTCAGGTCCTGACTAAATGTGGTGATGGCCTTTTTGACTCTCTCCTCATTCCACAGTCACAGACTTGGCCAGATTTCTGGGGAAGTCAACCTTAAAGGAAAGAAAACAGATATTAGAGCCCTCCAAATCTCAGCAACCTGCTCTGTCTTGAGTGCACTGAGAATGAGGAGACATCTCTGGTCACCTCCTACAAGAAGCACCATGAGACCTGCATCTTTGGAAGCATATTTCTGACTTCATATACCTGTGTAATGTTTGTCATATTTACTGTGTCCTCAATCTGTGTCATGCTGTGTTAGAAAGAGCAAGAATCATGCTTTAAAAAAGTAGTTAAGTCAGTTTGTAGCTTTAGAAGGATTTTCCAGTCACTTTAGAGGAATGTGACTGGAAAAAACTGAGAAAATGGGCTTCAACTTTTCTAGAATGTCTTATTTATGTGTTATGAAAAGATGAAATAAAACGACCTAAGTGTCCATCAGCAAATAATGTAGAAACAGAACGTGGTACACAGTGAATGGTATGTTATTTAGCCACAGAGAGAATGAGTCCTGACACATTATACCATGCGAACGAGCCTTGAAAAAAATTAGTCGTGAAATCAGTTATACCAAGAGGGCTAATGTACAATGCAACTTATATGAAAAATTATGGGATAAGATAAATGTATACATTCAGTGAAGTGTTATTTATGAAGATCAAAATTAAATACTTTAAATAGAAGACTAGTTAATTATGAAATCCACATTATAAGAATAAGATAGAATATTGTA